TATGTTCAAATTATTTAAGGGCCCATGTTTGTGTTTTTGTTTTATTTGAACCGGAGACATTGCATTTCATACCTGAAATTTGTTCATGTTCATAGACATGATTTTAATTTTCGAAAAGAGCAGAAAATAGAACTACAGGCAAATACTAGCTAAGAAATTATTGATATTCTGAATAGAATGACTTGTGATTATTTTATTAACGATACCCCCCACCCCCCACCCCCCAAAAAAATCATGTCGATATTTAGTTCATACATATGTAGTCTTACAGTGTAGCGCATAATAATGGAGCAACATACCGGTATTCCTACACTTATGCGTGTTTTGTTTAATTTTAATTGTAATTATGTATCACTATCTATCATCGTTTTGCATGCTTTTATTTATAACAGACATGTACACAGTAGTAAAGGCATTTTTTAACTAGAGCCGAGCTCGTTGCAAAGCAACGAGTAGGTCTTCCGTTGGAGCTGTGGACAGGAAGTACAGACCTTGGGTCAAGGTCACTGCACTTTCTTATGTCAACCACCTGTCTTCCCAACATGAGCCTCCAGTAAATTTTAATTACAAGGTTATGCTTAAACATTTTTTTTTCTTTGTCAGTGACCTTGATTTGCCAGAAAGACATTTGATCAGGGTCATGACAAAACCTCCAATCATAAGTAATATATTTTCAAGTAAGAGCCTCCAATGATTTTCATTTACTAATTCATAGCGTAGTAACGAAAATATTTCTTCTGTCAGTGACCTTGATCTTAACAGAATAACCTTGACTCTGTGTCAAGACAAAAATCTTTTAGTGATTAGAATTCATAACCCTGACAGGAATTTTACACTTTTCTGTCATTGGCCGATAAAGATGTTTGAAATTTGCATTATCTCGTTCCATTTTGTCACAGGTCAGAAAAACAACATTGAGGTATTTTAAAACATCACTGGATATTAATATTCAAACAACATGGTGTTTCTATTTATGAAAGATAGACGGGGTTGAAAGTCCCTTCCATAATACGTATTTTAGGTAATAGCTTTACTTTCAATAAAATTAAACTCAAAAGTCCACAAATAAAATATCTTTCCTCATTTATTTCAAAGTTTCGGTAAAGGGGGTGAGGAGCATGGGGATGTCATGATGTATACGTAATACATTTGAGGTTATTATTCTGTTGGACAGGAAGACCCGAAGAGTTGTGATTTGCTGATCATGATCTAAAACACGCTGACAAACCGAAACCATCGAAATAACCGAAATTATTTTCCTTGAAGGAGGAATGCATGGATAAAGGATTAAAGAAAATTCCCGATGTATAATAGCATCCGTGCATGGACTTCATTTTAGTACAGTACTACATAATGATATTGTGCTTGAAGTTGAATAAAATAATCAAATAAATTAAATTTAAATAGGAAAGGGAGATTATGTTTAATAGAATAAAAATTAGACAATACTTGATACAGGGACTCGCTGGTAAACACTTGAATGTACTTAAATAAAATGCCTCTCACTCGCTCTCTCGTACTGGTATCTTTTAAAGCAAGGAAAGTAATTTGCGCTAGATATAAGTTCATCATTTTAAAGAAAATACTGAGTTATATACAGTAAACGATACAAATGGTTTGACTTTGGTGCTGGTTATGATTTAAACAGTTTAATTTAGGTTGTAAAAGCGTTTAATTACATGATAAGTCTGTAATATACAGATAAGATTGTTACCCCGGTATATAAGTTCTTAAATTTCCGAATCTGGACATATGCTGGTTTATTACTACTTGAATGTACATTGTATAACCTGCTACTGATATATAATTACGGAACAAAATTACAATGTTAGCACACTATACTAATAATTTATACGGGTTTTGAATAAATTATAAAACAAATTAAGTTGATTGCTTTAAAATCATTATTTCTTGAACTTTACTATAAAACCTGTAATATAAATTAATAGACAGTGTGCAGCACAGAAGTCACTTATGAAGTTTACACGTGCCGGTGTTACTTATCGATGTTTAGTCAATTTCATTGAGTATAATTCTATCCTTACGATTCGGAAGAATCTCTTTAAAAGTTTAAAATTGGTATAGCCATGGTTAATATCTGTGATGAAAAAAAAATGTGTTTCGGAAAACTTGTGTTGAAAACGGATTCATTTGTGTATGAAAAGAGCAACGCTTGTGCATTTTAATAAATATTGGTTGAAGTAAAGTAACTGCAGATCGCCAGTCCTTGCGCTATGAATCGTCAAATTATATACACATGGAGCTATCGAATATTTAAGAATTGAAGACTGATTAATGTACATGTATAATAAATGCCCCAGCGTTTTGTACTAAAGTCAAACCTAAAACATTTTAAGATATTTTTGAAAGATTTAATTTACTTAGAGAAAATAATATTTTCTTAGTGTTGTAGAATGGTTTGTATATATATACCAATTATTTTGCCTATGACTGCGGGGTCAATGGTTCACCACGGTGTGTCGCTTTAGAATTTCTCGACCGCGTGTAATCGAAAGATAGATTACGTAATGGCCGGTAAACACACTTAGAATCTGGGTTCCAGGTGAATATGAGAATCGCGCAGTTAAATAATTGTGTATTATTTGACTCTTAATTTTTTTTTTTTTTTTTTGATGAAATCCGGGCGTATATTGTTTCCGTTCAAATTGTTTGTGTTTACATTCAACCGAATAAAAGATACTCGTACTTTTTTTTCTATAACTCTTTCACTTGGAAATATCTTTATTAATAAAAGAAAAATGATACCATCGAATACTCTGAACGGGAAACAAAGAACACGTTTAAAACCTAATTTAAAAAAGAGATATGATACAGCGTGGTAAAATATTTATTACTAACAGCAAGTTTATTTCAATTATACGCATAAAGAGTTCTGCAATATCAAAATGAAAACTGAGCCTTGTTTACGATGATTACGGATCTAGCTTTCTTTCCTACCATACGTAAGACATGAACAAAATAATATTTTCATGGGACAGAGATAGTATAAAAAGGAACAATTTTATCAAGAATTATTTTAACCATTCTGTGGTGGTTTATTTTTTGTGTATGACTGTAGGTCGCTGGATCACACGCCGATTGATTCCCGGTGACCGACTTTGCCCTGCCGCTATCGAGGGATGCGCGTTATATAATTGTTAACAAACAAGGTGAATGTTAAAGCCGTGTACTTAATGGCTGTGAATAGTATATGTGCTTTTTAGTTATGATTTAATTTCTCACTATATTGTTTGCTTTTATGTGATAAGAAGAAAAGATTATATTTTCTTCCCTTTTTAGTAGACTTGGTTTATACGATTTAAAAAAAAATGAAATAAAACGGAAAGTTGTCAGACTGTTGAATAAACATGATAATTTGTAAGAAAAAAAAGCACAAACACTTCGAGAACTTTATTCTGAAGAATATTAGCATCCAATGTATCCATGTTTATTATTTATAGTAAGCTTGCTTTGGTTACACGCATGAGGAGCTCTAGTTTACGTGCTGAGTGAAAAGAATTACCTGTGCATATATAGGTCGTGCACCAGCTCATTTAAAACAAGACTCGAACACAATAACAATTTCATGAGATCAGTGAGATGTTAGAGCACAACTTTATAATCGATAGTCATTTCGAAATATTTACCATTTTTGAGTTATAAAGCAAAAACTTTCAAGGTCCCTTGATCCCTAATTATAGGGGCCAGCCCCTTTTACATATTATTATATGAAAGCCCTTGCAATTATGCACAACTTTTGTTCATTATGTCTTAACAAAATATTTTTAGTTTTCAAGATAAAAAGGAAAATATGTGTAAATTTTTGCTCTTTCAGGCGTTCTAGTTTTTGACCCCTATATAGCGCCATTGTGAATACAGAAATCGAAAAACAAAAACCGATGTGCACAACTTCAATCCTTCTGTTACCTAAAAGCAGTAAAAATTCTGCTCCAGCTTTTGTGGTCTCTGAGCCTTTATCCGGAAACGAAAGCCTATAAATTTTCGTTTAAAGGGGAATAACTCAAAAGCGGGAGTGAATTTTTGAAATGTTAGATACCATTCTGATAGAGTATAATAATGTCTATAATGTCTGAAAATTTGAGCGAAATCCGTTGATAAATGAGTGAGATATGAGGCCTCAAAGTTGGCGTCTAGGAAGTAGAAGGAAAAAAAAAAGAATAATAATCTTTACCAACAGAATCAGTAGAAGGTCTTCCGTTTGAAACGGAAGACCTTAATGAAACCAAGTGACTGTGATAGAATCTCGCAGATAAATAAACACATAGCTACATGTAACTGCAACTGCACGGGCTAATTGTGAACAGCAGATTACAGTGCATATAAAAAGAAGCGATATCATGGCATTTTTTAAATTTTAAATAGACCTTTTTCGCAATTTGAAGATCAGTGAAGGTGGCAATATTAATTTTAAAAATAAATATATTCAATAAATTATTCGACTTTATTTCATCCTATACATGTATTTATTTACTGTTAACAGACGTGTTTGAGAATTAATTAATTTTGAGTGACTAATGGTAAAAAAAAGAGATGTTTTTTTTATTAAACAATTCGATAAAACTTAAAAGTGAATTTTTAAAGAATCCATGTTATGGTATAAATCAGATTTTATAATATTAATGTGGTCGTAATCTTAACCCCCCCCCCCTTTTCGACACGATTAAAAATCGACAAGACTTTACAGGCAATATCATCTAAGCTGAAGAATAACAGTAGCTGGCCCCGCCGCGGTGTAAACACGGTCTCAGGTAGCACCGCGATCAAAACCCGCGACGGTGTAACGCGGAAAGGATCAATACACCGCGGAGGGGACGCAGTCTAATACGGGATCCGCGTTGCCTGTACTGTAATAATCAAACAAGGAAAATCCTGATAAAAATCAATAAATGAGATTTTAACTGAGACTGAAATTACTATTGCAACAATAACCACATTTTATAACTATTGGCAAGAACAATTTTGTCCAAATTTTAATCTACCTCTAGTAGGGTTTCCTGCGTTGATCACCTTCACACCATCTGGTAAATTGTTGATAAATCCTCCCAAAGATTTGCCATCTTTGAGATAAAACAGATTCAAGGTAAAATGTTCTTTCCGTGGAGGAGAAAGGCTTTCTTGTGCTTCAGCCATCCCAGACGTTTTTCCCTCCTCTTATTGATGAAATATATGGAGATAACAATTATAGATAATAATGATTTTTTATAATGTCCGTATGTAGATAATATTAGGTGGAATTTAAAATGAAAATAGAATTCCCTCCTCCATGACAATCGATTCATTTGTGTTTATTGAAGGGGAATAGTATTTAAACGTTATTGAATGCAACTGTGTGTGTGAAACAAGCATTTTAGCTCACCTGAGCCGAAGGCTCAAGTGAGCTTTTCTGATCACATTTTGTCCGTCCGTCCGTCCGTCCGTCAGTCTGTAAACTTTTCATATTTTCGACTTCTTCTCAAGAATCAATGGGCCAATTTTAACCAAACTTGGTACAAAGCATCCTTGGGTAAAGGGGATTTTAAATTGTTAAAATGAAGGGCCAAGTCCCCTTCCAAGGAGAGATAATCAAGAAAAGACAAAAATAGGGTGGGGTCATTAAAACATCTTCTCAAGAACCACTGGGCTAGGAAAGCTGAAACTTACGTGGAAGCATCCTGGGGTAGTGTAGATATTAAATTTTTAAAATCATCACCCCCGGGGGTAGGGCAGGGCCACAATAGGGATTCCAAGTTTTACATAGGAATATATAGAACAAATCTTTAAAAATCTTCTTCTCAAGAATCACTGGGCCAGGAAAGCTGAAACTCATGTTGAAGCATCCTCAGATAGTGTAGATATCACGTTTGTAAAATCATGACCCCCTGGGGTAGGGCGGGGCCACAATAGGAAATCCAAGTTTTAAATAGAAATATATAGAACAAATCTTTAAAAATCTTCTTCTCAAGAACCACTGGGCCAGGAAAGCTGAAACTTATGTGGAAGCATCCTTGGGTAGTGTAGATATTAAATTGTTAAAATCATGACCCCCGAGGCTAGGGCGGGGCCACAATATGAAAACCAAGTTTTACATAGAAATATATAGAACAAATCTTTAAAAATCTTCTTCTCAAGAACCACTGGGCCCCAAAAGCTGAAACTTATATGGAAGCATCCTTGGGTAGTGTAGATATTAAATTGTTAAAATCATGACCCCCTGGGGTAGGACGGGGCCACAATAGGGATTCCAAGTTTTAAATAGAAATACAGTACAGGCAACGCGGATCCCGTATTAGACCGCGTCCCCTCCGCGGTGTATTAATCCTTTCCGCGTTACACCGTCGCGGGTTTTGATCGCGGTGCTACCTGAGACCGTGTTTACACCGCGGCGGGGCCAGCTACCGTTATTCTTCAGCTTAGATGTTGTTACCTGTAATGACTTGTCGATTTTTAATCGTGTCGAAAAAGGGGGGGGTAGCCATTTAAGACTACGACCACATTAATATTATGAATACCATTAGATGGATTTTTTTTTATAATCATTATCAAATTCTTTAATAAAAATTATATACCAATAGTCACTCAAAATTAATTAATTCTCAAACGCGTCTGTTAAGAGTCATATTAGGTGAAATATAGTACATGTACATGTAGTAAAATTTATCGAATATGTTTATGAAATCATATTTATTTATAAAATCAAGAATCTCGCCACAAATGATCTTCAAATTGCAATTTAATAAATAAATTAAATTAGTAGAATTAATTTTAGAATTTAAAGAATGCCATATCGCTTTTTTTATATGCACCGTCATCCAGTGTTCACGATTAGCTTGTGCAGTTGCAGTTACATGTAGCTATGTGTTTATTTATCTGCGAGGTTCTATCACAGCCATCGGTTTCATTTTTAAAAATGCCTTTTATACAAAGGCGAGGGGAGGGGCGGGGGGGGGGGGGGTTATAAAGTCATTCTATTCAGAATATCAATAATTTCATAGCTAATAATTTACTGTGGTTCTATTTTCTGCTCTTTTCGGAAATTATTAAAGTCATGTCTATGAAAATGTTGAACAAATTTCACGTATCGCCGATCGGAAAGGCTGACTCTTCTATCAGCCGTTTAATACGGGCCCTAAAATAATTTGAATACACAGCACATAAATTATTAGAATTATTTTAAACAGCAAATTGTCATGCTTCAAGTTTTCAGGTGTCTGTGTAACTGGTCTATACCCTTAACGAGATACCTGCAATACCTTCACATTACGTAATCTTGCATCATGAAGAAACACTGACGAACAATTATGAATAAGATTAAAAAATGTCTTGGAAACAATCATATCAAGCTGTTACTTTAGTTAAATATTGAGTGTTTAGCTATAACTGTTCCTGTGTTTTCCTTAAACTCGCATATTACATGTAATTCGACAAAATCCACAAATGGATAATAAACTGATATTAGCGACAGCAAGATCTACATGACTGTACATGTATCTGTTCACGGCAATGATTATTATGGAACTTTACAAAGTCTGATCCATTAGCAATTTCATTAAAATTATATCATGTTTAGTTTAGTTTCATTCGATAGACTTGAGAAATCAATAATATTTATACTGATCAAAACGAGGAAAAACGGTCTTGCACGTGCCTCAAGTTGATATTGTAATGCTCTCTCTCTCTCTCTTTCTCTCTCTCTTTCTCTCTCTCTATCTCGTAATCTACTAATTGGTACAGGTATAAACAGACACATAAATAAAATAGCAATGAATCATTATTTGATTTAATTAATTTCAAATACTTTAATTATTAATTTGTTTTAAAAGTTTTGTTGTTGTTTTTTACACTCAGTTAAAAAAGCAGCAATATATTGACTAAAATTTCAAGGCGGTTATCTCATTTGAAAATGATATCGATGAAATAATGAAACATTGAATCAAATGCTGTGCTGAATGGCTAGACAACGACGTGCACATTCAGAGAGAGTTATTCAAGGTACTCTAGGACAGGTGTGAAACCCCCAGGGCATGCCGTTTCCTGTGCTGGGACTGCTAATCCCTATACACAGGAAATGATCGCGGCTAATACTTAATACACAAAGAAACAGAAATTGTCAAAGAAATCGAAAGTATTTGATTAGTATTATATTCATTGAATATTATTAAAAACTTAAGTGTAATACATCCCCCTTCTTTAATTTAATTTGTTCTGTGAAGTTTATCACCGTACCTGCACATCCTATCTTATTTTACTGCACGTGAAAATGGAGAAATATTAAAATTAAAAAGAAAGACATATTGTTTACATACGAAACACATGTAAATATGAAGGTGAAGAAGCGATATTTTTTCTTGATATCATATAAAGTTCACATGTAACTGCAAAGTGAACTATCGCCATCGAAATAAAATTCATGCTTTCCGGTAATTTGATACTTTGAGAAAAATGCCTGCACAATTATATAACAAAGCGAAATAAATTTTTTAAAAGTGTTCTAAATTTGGGAAAAGAACATAAACAATGAGAAAAAAAGAAGAAAAGATTTTTTTCGTGATATCTTGCATAAAGAAAATTTAAGTTCACGTGCCCACTACATGTAACTGCAAACTCTCGCCATCGGATGTTTCCCGTTGTTTGACATTTTAAGAAAAATGCCTGCACATTTATGCAATAAAGCGAAATTAGTTAAATTAAGTGTTCTAAATTTGGGAAAAGAATATAAACAATATGAGGATGTAAATTTTTTTCAAAAATTAATTGTACTTTTTTTTTTTTCAAATGAATGCTGCATGAAAATCGTTTATAGAAACTCACGCTGTCTGAGTTCTGAATCAGCAGTATTAAAGTTCGCATATAATATGAATAAATTAAAAAAAAACCCTAATCTTTCTAGTATCTAAATTTGTTTCTTGTTAGACTCTCAATAACGCAAAAAATTAACCAATTGAATAAAATTTTTAATTCTAATTCAAACATTGATTATTTTAGAAACAAAAATAAATATAGTTTAATTTTCTCTTTTAATATCTATCCATCATAGCAAAATAAATGAAAATAGTTCTTTTAATAAACATACAGTATCGTTATTTTTTTGTTACGGGGAAAATTCGCAAATTACAATTCGGGGAGATAACTCCCGTTTGTTTACGATACTAATTGTCAGTAATCGATCGATGATTTAACCGCGGCGGGGACAGGTAGGTGATGAAATTCCCGCGGAGGGAACGCGGTTTACCTGTCTCACCTGGCCAAATACCGCGATGTGATTATACCGCGACGGGGCGCGGGAAATACGGGATCCGCGTTGCCTGTACTGTATATAGAACAAATATTTAAAAATCTTCTTCTCAAGAACCACTGGGCCAGAAAAGCTGAAACTTATGTGGAAGCTTTCTTGGGTAGTGTAGATATTAAATTGTTAAAATCATGACCCCCTGGGGTAGGACGGGGCCACAATAGGGATTCCAAGTTTTATATAGAAATATATAGAACAAATCTTTAAAAATCTTCTTCTCAAGAACCACTGGGCCAGGAAAGCTGAAACTTATGTGGAAGCATCCTTGGGTAGTGTAGATATTAAATTGTTAAAATCATGACCCCCGAGGCTAGGGCGGGGCCACAATAGGGAATCCAAGTTTTACATAGAAATATATAGAACAAATCTTTAAAAATCTTCTTCTGAAGAACCACTGGGCCAGGAAAGCTGAAACTTATGTGGAAGCATCCTTGAATAATGTAGATATTAAATTGTTAAAATCATGACCCCCGGGGGTAAGGCGGGGCCACAATAGGGAATCCAAGTTTTATATAGAAATATATAGAACAAATCTTTAAAAATCTTCTTCTCAAGAACCACTATGCCAGAAAAGCTGAAACTTATGTGGAAGCATTCTTGGGTAGTGTAGATATTAAATTGTTAAAATCATGACCCCCTGGGGTAGGACGGGGCCACAATAGGGATTCCAAGTTTTAAATTGAAATATATAGAACAAATCTTTAAAAATCTTCTTCTCAAGAACCACTGGGCCAGGAAAGCTGAAACTTATGTGGAAGCATCCTTGGGTAGTGTAAATATTAAATTGTTAAAATCATGACCCCCGAGGGTAGGACGGGGCCACAATAGGGAATCCAAGTTTTACATAGAAATATATAGAACAAATCTT